CAAAACTATGGAACGGGAAAAAATATTTCCAAGCTATGCATCTGACAAAGGCTTAACATCCAGGATCTATAAGGAACTCAAACAAACTGAAAGGAAAAACAAACAATCCCATTACAAAGTGGGCAAAGGACATGAACAGACACTTTTCAAAGGAAGATATTCAAGCAATCAACAAACATATAAAAAAATGTTCAGCCTCACTAATCATCAGAGAAATACAAATCAAAACTACAATGCCTTACCAACTAACACCGGTAAGGATGGTTATCATTAAAAGATCAAAAACAACAGGTATTGGCATGACTGAGGGGAAAAAGGAACGCTTCTATATCATTGATGGGAATGTAAGCGAATTCAACCTTTGTGGAAAGCAGTGTGATAATTTATCAGATAACTAAAAATTGAGCTTCCATACAATCCAACAATCCCTCTCCTGGGAATATACCCAGAAGAACATAAATAGCTCTACCAAAAAAGATACCTGCACACACATGTTCATTGAAGCACTTTTCACAATAGCAAAAATATGGAACCAACCCAGATGCCCACTGAAAGTGGACTGGATAAAGCAAATGTGGTACATATACACAATGGAATATTACTCATCCATAAAGAAGAGCAAACTCATGGCCTTTGCAGTGACATGAATACAGATCATCCTACTAAGTGAACTATCACAGAAATAAAGAACTGAATACCGCATGTTCTCACTTGTAAGCGAGTCCTGATCACTGGTCACATGAGTGACGGTGGGATCAGAAGATGCTGGACTGTTAGTCGAGGGAGGAAGGACAGATGGCGGGGGGTGGGTGGGAACGTGGCAACACACTGGGCACCAGGTCCACTACCAGGGGGAGAAAGGGCCTGCTAGAAGCCCAAACTTCACATGCATGCAACTTACTTATATAGTAAATCCTCACTTGTACCCCAAAACTCTAAAAATAAAAATAAACAAATAAAATAAAATATGTTGTAAACATATATCTGTTTTAGAAGTATTTAAAAGCAGTTAATATTCATCTAAAATTAAATATATACTTTTTGGAGAGAAGAGAAACACTGGAACTTTATACAATTGAACTTTATACAGTTTATAAATTGAGAAAATAACTTGCCCATTTTGTAACGCTGATATACAGTACTGTAAGAGTGGATTAAATACAATTTTTTGCTCTGCTCAGTATTCTTCCTATGATCCAACATGGTTTTCTCAAACAGAAAACCAAGTTAAATCAAATCTAAAAAATAAATCATTATTTTTTGTCAGCATTATTTTCATGAACACATGAATCTTAGAATATAGTTTGTTGCTAATTTTATCTCGTCTCTTTTGGCTTCTTGGACTCTTGACAGCAGAAAGTTGTTCACTTACTACAGGAAATAATCATTATTACATACAAATACATCACCTGTTCTTGCCTGAAACTAGATGGTGAAACTCACAGGGATGACTAAAAGTGAATTATCTTCAGCTTTTTGTAGAAAACACTGATTTTTTTTCAGACTTTTTGAGTAACAAAAATTATGTAGTTTTAGGTTTCAGAGACCATCTAGTCCAACCACCTCATTTTACACAAAAATAAATGGAGAGACTAAAAGACTTAGCACAATTTCACATGTTCACAGGAACATGTTCCCGCTCTGCTTTGCATTAACCAGCACAGCAATGAATTTAGCAGATCAGACTGTATTGATGATGAGCACAGCACAATTGACCCTTGAGCTACACGGGTTTGAACTGCGTGGGTACACTTACTGGAGGACTTTTTTCAAATGTGGGTAAAAAATACAGCATCTAAGGGATGAAAAAGCTGCGTAGAGGGAGGGCCGTTTTCATATTCATGGACTCCAAGGGCCATGCAGGAATCTACACCCGGATTTCCTATCAGGGTGTCCTGGAGGGAGCCCTTCAGGGGGCCACTAGTAAGCACATTTCTGGTGACTGGAAAACTCCAGGGAGCTCATCCTGACACTACCACCATTAATTGGAAGGTTCAGTAAAGATGAGCACACCAGTAGTACATTCTTTTAATCAAGTTTTTAAACGTCTGCGAAAATTGTCTATATAAAACTAGGAACACCTTTTTAATATAGAACTTTTTATTTTAGCATATTTTATTTTATTTTAGCATAGAACTTTGCAAAAATGAATGAATGAACACATGAATTGTCTGATCCTTATTTTTAGGATTGTAAGATCTCATGAATCCAAACACCATCCAAACACAGTTTTGCGGCTATCGTTTATGCATGCAAGTTTCTAGTGAGTTGGGCTGAAGTACTGGCTACACTTGGGTGGTAAAAAGGGGTCATTCAAGGAATCTGTTTGTCCCATTAAAAGCTACAAAAGAAAAAGGATAATATTAGTTACTAGCAATGCGTCCTTTGTATGTGTGCCTACGTCCTATTTGTATTTTTTTAGAACAAATGTAGTAGCTTTTTATTGAATGCTACTTTAAAAGAGTAAATTGAGGATAATATGTGACTAGGCCAATACCAAAAAAAAAATTTTCTTTTTGAAGATTCTTTCAAAAACTGTTTTATACCAAAATATTTTACAATAAAATATTCACATGCTTCTGTTGCATTGGAACCTGTGGCTGGGGCCGCCACAAGATGGGCAGGGAGGGGGGCCCAGGGATCCCGGACGCAATAGAAACGGTTTCATCACTAGGAGTCGCTACTGCCAGAGGAACTTAAATTTCTTATACATAGAAAAAGGAAGAAAGAAAAAATACCTCATTTTTACCTGCCTGAGATCTGTTCGCCTAAAATTTTACTTTTTCCTGGGTGGGTTTTAGAAGAAACTTTCACATTGCAGTCATATTGCCTTCAAAAACAAAACAAAACCACCTCACTGTGAAATCGAACCATTTGCTTTTAAAAAGAGCAGAAATAACCCATACCCAAAGGGGGAGGGTCTAGACGTTCACATTAGGACCCTGTTCTATTTACCACGCCCCCCCCCCCCCCCATTTTCTCTTTCTGAGGAAACAGACCCGGTGAAGGGAGAGACAGAGACAGAGGCAGTGACAGAGACTGGGAGAAAGAGAGCTGAAGGGTGCGCCGGGAGTCACCAGGAGCCAGGGGGTGTGGGAGTCTCCCCTGTCACTGAGGCATTGTCTGCGCCCACGTGCAGCCGGCAGCATCTCGCGCTGCGGCCATGGCGCCACCGCCCCTGTTCCTAGCGGAGGCTTTTATTTCTTCCCCACGCTCTTCCTTTTTGGCACTGCGCTAAGTACACCTTTCCCAATCAGATCGCCGACTTGGAGGATGTCCAGCTCTTGCCCAGAAAGCCCCGACAAAATGGGAAAGTACGCAACTGATTGATAACGCAACTTATAAAGAAAAACAAAATTAAAGGGGGCACTTTTTTTTTTAAGAGTTGACTTTTCTGTATGGTGATAGGTAGGGGAGGCACATTTTTAAACTCTCCCGAATGTGCTGGACTGCATCCGACGAGGCAAACTTTCCTGAAGACTAGCTTGGAGGCAAGTGACCTCCCGAGGGCGTCTCCGAGCACGGGAAACGACTGGCCAGCCCGCCCAGGGTCCAGCCAGCTCCAGAGCGGAGGTCGGCGAG